ACACACACAGACACACACACACACAGACACACACACACACAGACACACACACACACAGACACACACACACACAGACACACACACACACACACACACACACACACACACAGACACACACACACACACAGACACACACACACACAGACACACACACACACAGACACACACACACACAGACACACACACACACAGACACACACACACACAGACACACACACACACAGACACACACACACACAGACACACACACACACAGACACACACACACACAGACACACACACACACAGACACACACACACACAGACACACACACACACAGACACACACACACACAGACACACACACACACAGACACACACACACACAGACACACACACACACAGACACACACACACACAGACACACACACACACAGACACACACACACACAGACACACACAGACACACACACACACAGACACACACACACACAGACACACACACACACAGACACACACACACACAGACACACACACACACAGACACACACACACACAGACACACACACACACAGACACACACACACACAGACACACACACACACAGACACACACACACACAGACACACACACACACAGACACACACACACACAGACACACACACACACAGACACACACACACACAGACACACACACACACAGACACACACACACACAGACACACACACACACAGACACACACACACACTGACACACACACACACAGACACACACACACACAGACACACACACACACAGACACACACACACACTGACACACACACACACAGACACACACACACACAGACACACACACACACAGACACACACACACACAGACACACACACACACAGACACACACACACACTGACACACACACACACAGACACACACACACACAGACACACACACACACACACACACACACAACACAGACACACTGACACACACACACACAGACACACACACACACAGACACACACACACACAGACACACACACACACTGACACACACACACACAGACACACACACACACAGACACACACACACACAGACACACACACACACAGACACACACACACACAGACACACACACACACTGACACACACACACACAGACACACACACACACAGACACACACACACACACACAGACACACACACACACAGACACACACACACACAGACACACACACACACAGACACACACACACACAGACACACACACACACAGACACACACACACACAGACACACACACACACAGACACACACACACACAGACACACACACACACAGACACACACACACACTGACACACACACACACACACAGACACACACACACAGACACAGACACACAGACACAGACACACACACACACAGACACAGACACACACACACACACACACACACACACACAGACACAGACACACACACACACACACACAGACACAGACACACACACACACACACACACACACAGACACAGACACACACACACACACACACACAGACACACACACACAGACACAGACACACACACACAGACACACACACACACAGACACAGACACAGACACACACACACACACACAGACACACACACACACACACACACACACAGACACACACACACACAGACACACACACACACAGACACACACACACACAGACACACACACACACACACACACACACACACACAGACACACACACACACACACACACACAGACACACACACACAGACACACACACACACAGACACACACACACACAGACACACACACACACAGACACACACACACACAGACACACACACACACAGACACACACACACACAGACACACACACACACAGACACACACACACACAGACACACACACACACAGACACACACACACACTGACACACACACACACAGACACACACACACACAGACACACACACACACAGACACACACACACACTGACACACACACACACAGACACACACACACACAGACACACACACACACAGACACACACACACACAGACACACACACACACAGACACACACACACACTGACACACACACACACAGACACACACACACACAGACACACACACACACACACACACACACACACACACAGACACACACACACAGACACAGACACACAGACACAGACACACACACACACAGACACAGACACACACACACACACACACACACACACACAGACACAGACACACACACACACACACACAGACACAGACACACACACACACACACACACACACAGACACAGACACACACACACACACACACACACAGACACACACACACAGACACAGACACACACACACAGACACACACACACAACACAACACACACACACACACACACACACACACACACAGACACACACACACACAGACACACACACACACAGACACACACACACACACACACACACACACACACAGACACACACACACACACACACACACACACACACACAGACACACACACACACAGACACACACACACACAGACACACACACACACACAGACACACACACACACACACACACACAGACACACACACACACACACACACACACACACGTGCACGCACACACCCAGACATGCATACACAAAGATGTGTGTGTACGTGCGTACCTGCACACAAACCAACCAAAGCAAACCATCACTCCTCGCCTTCCCCCACCCACCAGTGCGACGAGGAGACGTGTGGGTGTGTGTCGCAGAACATGGTCACTCGCCTGGTGAGCTCTGAGAGCTCCATGTGTGAGCCTGAGTGTCTCACTGCCTTACCTGTTCCGCCCCTCACCCTCCTCCTCCCTCCCACCCACCAGTGCGACGAGGAGACGTGTGGATGTGTGTCGCAGAACATGGCCACTCGCCTGGTAAATTCTGACAGCTGCAGAGGGGCCCTCTGCCCCAACTACCCCCGCTGCCAAGGCACCATGCGCCGCCAGGTATGTGCACACATGCATGCATGCATGCTCGGACTCACGTGCGCGCACACACACACCCACCCCCACACCCACCCCCACACACATACACACACACACCCACCCCCACACACACCCACCCCCACACACACCCACACACACCCACACACACACACACACACACCCATGCCAGGCATTTTTGCTTCCATGAGACCACAAGGCCAACTTGCAACCACGGACGTGCACTGCTTCTCTTGCCCTTGTGCCCTTGCATATCCCCCCACCAACTCTTCCCTACCCCTCTCTCCCAACAGTAGATCCGTTGAGTTTACTTTTGAGAATTCTCAAAAGTAACTCAACATAGCTCCCCCACCCCCTCTTCCCTACCCCTCTCTCCCAGCCATAGATCCGAGCCTGAGCTGTACCAATGGCTCTGCTATCTCTTCTCTTCATTTCCCTCCTCTCCTCCCTTCCATTTCTTCCCCCTCCTGTTGTTTCCCAGATTTCAGAGGCGGACCTCTATCACCGCCTTGGCTATCTCCGCCACTCCCTCGCAGTCACACGCACCCTTGCCAAGGTAGGGTGCACTTGCCTGGAACCTTCTTGGTACGTGCTGGTTGGGCTGGGAAGCTCCAGGGTGAGCAGTGGACTCTCCTCCTTAGTGTCTCCTATTCTCCTCCACCTCTTTCACCCGCTCTTGATTTTGCTTCCCTCGCTCCCCCAGCCCAAGCCCTTACCCTCACCAGCCTTGCCTCCATACTCCCCCTTGCTCCATTTTCATCAGGTAAGGGACCCAGCACAGTTGGCAGTAGCAGAGCGCAAGCTTCAGCCAATCAGGAGAGCTTTGGATACAGCACATGGGGTGGTGGAGAGGATGTGTGACAGCTCAGCGTACAAATGGGTTAAGATGGGTGACCTCTGTGTGACATAGTTGCAAATTTTTACATACATAAAGGTTTTGTAACAAGTGCCCGGACCCGGAGCATTGCCTGTGCCACCCAGCTAGTGCTGTGCGGCACTGAGTGAGTGTGCAACCATCAATCGTTGTGCCAACCCAACCCAGACAGGTCACACTAAACCTTGAACCCTGCACACTGGAGTAAAATCTGACGAAGCCAAAATACATCATCTGTGAGCTACTAATAAGCAAGAAACTACGTACTAGAGCATACATGTGTGAGCTTTCCAAAACCAGCACTACAGGCACTGGGCATCTGAGACAGCAGCAGCCCAGACTAGGCCATTCCAGGTGAACGCCCTAGCTAGGAAGAGCCGAGCCGAAGCATTCTCTAAGGATCAACAGCAAGAGCATCCCAATCTAGGGCCGCTAGGCTAGCAATCACGGCTCATTGGGCCTTGTAACTGCTCATTGGGCCATTGCACAATGGGGGAGGATGGGTGTCTGCTTGGGTCCTGAAACTACTCCCTCCCACACCTCACTCTTCACTTTTCAACTCCTCACTCACTCCCTCACTCACTCCCACTTCCTCCCCCTTGGCCCTCTCCTCCAGCCCCAGCATGGTGAGAAGAACAGTGGGGGGCATGTGGGCATCATTATACATGAAGAAATGGCCCCTGTTGGGCACCACATGCACCACACTGCCCTCCACCATCCTCCCCACATGCCGCGCATAGCCCACCCGTGCCCCCCAGTCCTCCTCAGCGTGCCATATGTGCACCTTCCCCTTCAACCCCCCCTCCCCTTCCCTCTCCTCTCCGTCGCGTTCTCCCCCTTTCCCCGCTCCCTCCTTGCCCCCTTTCTGAGAGAGATCGATCTCAGAGAGGTTAAAGCCCCAATCGGAAACGAGGATCTCGAAATCCCGATACCATGACACGCCTGCTCCTTGTTTTGCCCCCTCCTGCATGTTCTGATGGAGGGGGGACAGCAGGAGGAAAGGCAGATGGAGGGTGGAGAGGAGAGGTGAGAGGTGTGCGAAATTCAAGACGCCTGAAGGGAGGTGCACGTGCAGAGAGCTTGAAGCCCCAGTCAGCAGCCAAGAACTCGAAATCCCAATACCATCACACGCCTGCTCCTTGTTTTGCCCCCTCCTGCATGTTCTGATGGAGGGGAGACAGGGGAGGGGGAGGGGAGAGGAGGGGGTGGTGAGAGGTGTAAGAATGAAAGCATTACTGAGTCGAATCACGAGGGAAACGAGAGTTGACACACACACACACACACACACGCACACGCGCAGACGCAGACGCACGCACGCACACACACACACACACACACACACACACACACACACACACACACACACACACACACACACACACACACAGAATGTACACACTCACCCGTGCAAAGTACCCGAACACATCAGTGCTGGCCAGGGCAGCCATGTCCGACTCATACAGGTCAACCAGGTGCGGATGGGCACTCACTCATTCACATGCACATGCGCACGCTCCCTCCTTACACACCCCAACACTCACCCGGGCGAAATAACCAAACACATCAGTGCTCGCGAGGGCAGCCATGTCCGAATCATACAAATCCACGGGATGCGGATGGAAGGGATCCCGAAAGTTTCCCATCGGCACCAGGGTTTGGGAGAACCACGCGTGCAGCAGGGAGGGCACGTGGCGGGCCAGCAGCAGCGTGATGCGATCTTGCACTGGCATCTGCTGCCACGTGGCTGTGAACTCGTGCTTGGGCCACGTGGGGTCCCAGGGGTTCCCCACCACGCTGATTATCGTCAGACCCTTGAGCCTGGGAGCGAAAAAAGAGGGGAGGGGGGGAAGGATGGAGGAGTCAAGAGGTGGGTGGGAGGATGGAAACGACTAGATTGGCTGTGAACTCGTGCTTGGGCCACGTGGGGTCCCAGGGGTTTCAGACCACGCTGATGATGGTTAACCCTTTCAGCCAGTGACAGTGTTGGGGTGGGACAGGAATGACGGAAGGAAGGAGGAGAGGAGAGACGCAGAGGGAGTGCTGAGTTGAAACTCATGCTTGAGCCACGTGGGGTCCCACGGGTTGCCCACCACGCTGATTATCGTCAGGCCTTTGAGCCTGGCAGTGAGAGGGGAAAGGGAGCAACGAAAGAAGGAGTGGAGAGAAGCAGAGGGTGTCGTTCCCTTAGGCTGAGTTGAACTCGTGCTTGGGCCACGTGGGGTCCCATGGATTGCCCACCACGCTGATGATCGTCAGCCCTTTGAGCCAGAACGTGTGTATAGAAAAGGACGAGAAGGAGGGTGGAAAGGAAACGGAAGTCAAGAGGTGGGCGCATGGAAGCGGCAACGTTGTGCTGGTCTCGTGCTTAGGCCACATGGGGGTCCCATGGGGGTCCCATGGGGGTCCCATGGGGGTCCCATGGGTTGCCCACCATGCTGATTATCGTCAGCCCTATCAAACTGAAGGTGGGAAGGGAAAGGGAGAGCGGGGAGGAATGAGAGGTTGGACATGTAGTGAGGTGTGATGGAGCGAGATGAGGAGCGAGATGAGGAGAGAGATGAGGAGAGAGATGAGGAGAGAGATGAGGAGAGAGATGAGGAGCGAGATGAGGAGAGAGATGAGGAGAGACGCGATGAGCCTGAATGTGGTCACCCTACCCCCCATCCACATCCCACATGCATGCTCACGCACAAAGCCTCACCAACCGGTGCGGCAGGTATCGGAGTGACCCAAGAGCCACATACGTCCCCATGGACGTTGCAACGAGGTAATACTTCTCCTCCAACCCCACGGCCGTGACCACTTCGCCCCTTCCCCCTCACATGTGGGTCAGGTATCTCATCCCCACCCCCAGCACTCACTCACCGATGAGGTAAATATCTGAGCGCTCCCAGAGCCACGTAAGTCCCCATGGAAGTCGCGACGAGGTAGAACTTCTCCCCCAACCCCACTGCCGTCGCCACCTCGCCTGCGTCGCGCATGTCGCTCTGCAGCGTGCGCCCAGGGTGGGGGTCGCTCTGCCCGTACCCCAGGTTTGGATCGCCTCACTGCCCGTATGTACCCAGGCTCTCCCACGCAGCACTCACCGGTGCGGCAGGTATCTGAGCGCGCCGAGCGCCACGTAAGTCCCCATGGAGGTCGCGACGAGGTAGAACTTCTCCCCCAACCCCACTGCCGTTGCCACCTCCCCTGCGTCGCGCACGTCGCTCTGCAGAGTGCGCTCCGGGTTCGGGTCGCTCTGGCCATAGCCCGCTCGGTCGTAGCTCACCAGCCGAATGTCGTGGGATTCTAAGAACTCCTGGGGTTGGGAGGGGTGGAGATGGGTGGAGAGGTGCGGGGACGGATGGACAACTGATGCTAGGCTGGCTGTAGCATGTGGCAACGCGGGTTGGGGTCGCTCTGCCCGTACCCCGCGCGGTCGTACCTCACCAGGCAAATGCCGTTGGCTTCTAGGAACTCCTGGGGTGGGGAGGAGTTGGGAGGGGAGGCGAGGGATGGGGAGGGGTGTGGGTCGGTGGGGATGGGTGTAAAGGAACCGTACACAACCCAGTTGCACTGGACATGTAACGCCTGTGGGCTGTGTTAAGGGCACTCCGCTGCGCCAAATAACACCCTCGTTTTGACCCAGTGGGTAGCGAGGTGTTATACTGGTTTCAGAGCCTAGGGTTCGAGTCCCGGCTGGTCCACACTTTCCACCTATGGTGAGAACTGAAGTGTGGTTACCAGCTCGAACCCAGTGAACGATCCTGAAATCTAGGTCCCAGCGGCAGGGGGCCGACTTCCTGAAGTCCGAGGCCAACGGGGACGTTGGCACCAGGGGGGGACGAGTGTAACGCCTGTGGGCTGTGTTAAGGGCACTCCGCTGCGCCAAATAACACCCTCGTTTTGACCCAGTGGGTAGCGAGGTGTTATAGGACATGTCATCACAGAGATAGTGGACACGTCACGACCCAGAAACATGACACGTCACGACCCAGAAGCATGACACGTCCCACGACCCAGAAACATGACACGTCACGACCCAGAAACATGACACGTCACGACCCAGAAACATGACACGTCACGACCCAGAAACATGACACGTCACGACCCAGAAACATGACACGTCACGACCCAGAAACATGACACGTCACGACCCAGAAACATGACACGTCACGACCCAGAAACATGACACGTCCCACGACCCAGAAACATGACACGTCCCACGACCCAGAAACATGACACGTCCCACGACCCAGAAACATGACACGTCACGACCCAGAAGCATGACACGTCACGACCCAGAAACATGACACGTCACGACCCAGAAACAAGACACGTCACGACCCAGAAAAATGACACGTCATGACTCAGAAACATGACACAGTCATCGCACCTGCGTAATGTTGGGCAGCATGCTCAGTCGGCACGTCTGAGGTCGTGAATGGTGGGGAGGGGTTGGGGAGGGGTGGAGAGGGGTGTAACAGTACCCCACCCTGTCGTACCTGCGTGATGTTGGGCAGCATGCTCAGTCGGCACGTCTGCCACGCGTGCACCACCAGCACCTGGTACTTGGCCACGTCAGCAGCCGCGCCCATCTCGTGGTACGCCACGTGGCGGCCGTCCGAGAGGCGGACGCGCGGGCTGGTTACGTCAGCGTCGGTGAGCGGGACCGGCGGGGGGGCTTGAATGGCGCGGAAAATAAAGACGGCCCAGATGGCGATTATAAGAGCCACCACGGAAAAGTAGAGTGACGTGGCGACTGGAGGAGCAACGGGAGGGACAGAGAGTGAGAAAGGGAGGGGGAAGGGAGAACGAGAGAGCGAGAAAGGGAGAGAGAAAAGGAGAGTGAGAAAGGCAGATAGAAAGGGAGGGTGAGGGTTGAAAGAGAGACGGATGGAACTGCGCGGACGATAAAGACGGTCCGGATGGAGAATATAAGAGGCACTATGGAATGGTGGAGTGGCGCCGCGACAGCTGTCGGAACGGGGGTAGCGTGACAGACGCGACGCGGCAGGGTGCGGAAAACGCAATGTGGCGAGAGGAAGCGCTTCGGCGAGGGAAGCGAGGGAAGAAGGAGCCGCGGCGGGTTGGGCGAAAGGGACTTGGCGGGTTGGGCGGAAAAGGAGTAACCTTGGAGCACATTAAAGTTATACTCTTAGTCTTCTCAATGAGCATACTCTTATTTCTCTTACAGTACTCCAGCCACATTAGAACCCTTTCTTGAGGTTCTTCCAGTCTTCTCAAGCATTCCTTTTGAATCGTGTCGAAAGCATTCTTCTAGCGAGTTCTCACCTCCCTGCTTGCCTTTCCCCGCACTTCCCGGCCTCGCATTGCTCCCCCGCGCACGTCGCCGCGCCGCCGCGAGTCGCGCGCGCTCCTGCGGGGTCAGCTGCTTCGCGCCGCCTGCCTTTGCGGATTCCGGCTTTGAGTCGCCTCCCGCGCCCGATGCGGCGGCCAGTGAGGGCTGCTCGGAACCGTCAGATCCAGAAGCACCGGCCATCGTACGGTGATGAAGGTTGCTGTGTGTCGCAAATCTAAACTCGCATTCCCAGCACAAACCGAGATTCAACTCTTAAGTAACGCGGAACGGTACTTATCTAATGTATGGAGGAACGAGGGAGCGAGAGAGAGCGAGCAAGAGAGAGAGGAGAGCGAGAAAGGGGACGGTTGGATCTGGTCTGGTCCGGGAGGGGGAGAAAGATGAGCAGAGCACACGGCCAAGCGAGGCCCGAGGTGGACGAGATGGCAACAAGGGGCAATGCAGCCTGTCGTTAGTACGTACGGACGTAACGCAGCAGAGACATGTAGTACACCCTCTTTCGCGCTAGTAGAGCACCTGGTTGGAGAACGTACATGGATTGTAGAACGTCACCACGTTCAGAATGGTCTTGTCACCTACTGTACAAGCACAATGCGAAGAATGCGGTTAGGTAAGGTTATGCACTTTACAAAAAGCGTTGTCAGCATTTTCATCTGTTTGGGAAAGTTATGAAGCGATTACGGAGATTTTACGTCCTTGAGCCAGTTTGTCACGTGGTCCGGCTTTCCCCCCAGGTTGCCTAAGAACGTTTATTGGCACCAGATCGCATGAGACAAGTACTGTAGCGACGAGTCGCGCAAGGTGAAAAGGTTGAGAAAGAGGGTGTACAGGGGGGGGGGCTACAGTACAAGAACCATTCAAGACGGGCGACCTCCTGTACTGTCGTGTACGGTAGTGCCTGTTTCCCAGATCCAGACTTGAGGTGGCGATATTTCAACAACACGTCGATGGACAGAAAAGGGGCACATCTGCGTGGCGGGGTGGGGGCGATATATACAAGAGATAAGACGAGTCGATAAACAGACGAGTGCATTGTGGGGGTGCCCTAGTTGGTTGGTGTCAAGGTGTAAATACTTGACAAATACGGTAGGTAGGAGGTGAGGTGAGGTAACATCACAAAGCAATCCGTAAATTTTACAACCAACAGTGTCCTTTATTACATCACATCATCAACCTTATAGCACATATCTATCAAGCAGAATATCCCAGCCCAAGCCCCAAATGCTCCCTTTGTACATCTCTACGTACACACTAGTAGGTCTTACACACAAACTATTCGCCTCTGTTACAATCCCAAGTGGGACTTAGCGAAGGATCGCTCAGGGTTGATCGCAGGGCAGTGTTGCAGCGGAAGTATTGACCTCAGATCAGAGTGAATGTAAATGACTGAGATTGATAATAGCATGCATACATAGAGTTTATATGTGAAATACAAAGGAATACGAAACGACCTAGACTAGCCATGTACTCTAAGGGGTACATTCCCTTATTACAGCGAAGTTCAAAAACCGTGCGGCGCGGGAACCCGTTTCAAACTTGTTCCTGCTCTTTTCACTTCAAATGTTTCTGCCAGCATCGGTCTTGGTCAGACGGTTATCAGCGTCGCTTCGACTCTTCTGACTCCTCGACTTCGTACTCGGTAGAGTCGGCTCCTGCAGCATACGGGAATGCCTTCTCATAAAGTTTCATATCGTAACACTCCCCTTCATTCCTGGGCGCGTAAGGGGCTGGCTCGCTTGACTACTCCGGTGAGGTCGGGGCAGTGCTTGTACTGCTGACGTGGCAGTCGCTTGGTGAGGAAGTCGGCTGCCATCTCAGTGCAGGGGCAGTACGCGAGGTCAACTTTGCCTTGGTCAATTTCGTCCTTGACGAAAAAATACCGAAGCGCGATGTGCTTCGTGCGGTTCACGAATCCTGACTTGTTCGCGATCCCGTAGAGGGATTTCTTCAACTGACAGACCCTTGGGTCTCCTTCCCCGTAGGTGTGTGGCTGTTCCATGAAGATGGTTGCATCCACCAACGCGTATAAAAACGCGTTCTTGTCGTCGATCTGTCGTAGTGGCAAGTGTTTAGTGGCGGCAATGGCGAGTAGAATTCTGACAGAGGTGTGACGACTGACGGGAGCAAAGGTTTGATCGAAATCAATGCCGTGACGCTGGTCATACCCGCGTACGACCCAGCGTGCTTTGAAGCGCTCGATAGTGCCGTCAGCGTTGGCTTCTAGACAGAAGACCCAATTTCCGCTTAGCACCCTCCTCCCCTTCACTGCTGCACGATCGACTAGGACACATGTGTCGCGTGATTCCAGTGCCCTCAGTTCCGCGTCCATGGCAGCACGCCACTCCTTGGCGTGAGGACCGGTTAGGGCCTGGCGAGGGTTCTTGGGCTCGACGGCGCACGTGAGAGTAGTGACAGACGTGTGTAGGCCGAGAAGCTGCAGGCCGGACACATTGGTGGTGTCTGCAGTGGTGATCTCCACCGCATCGTCATCGTCACACTCGTGGGCAGTTGCGGAAGTGCTGGGCGGTGTGTGGCAATGCGATGGTCCTGGTACGGGGGCGCCGCCGTCATCGTCATCATCGTCGTCGCGCGGGTGTGGTGGGACGCCAGGATGGTCGTCGGCGGGGTCGTAGTCGAGTGTTGCTGCTGCCTCGTCCTCGGGAGTTGCAAAGTTGCGACCATTGTTGGCGTAGGCGCGTGCGACGTTGCGACGTTCATCCTCGATCCACTGCTGCAAGGTGAGACACTTGTAGAAGAGAACTCCACGAGCGGGGACGATCTGTTTGCTGTCGATGTCAAGAATCAGCCAACCCTGGTACTCGTGACTTAGCCCCAGGTGGACTCCCCAGCGTGCGCGGTGAGTGAACTTGCCAGTTGTGGCCGAAGTCGGCCGATACTGCACCATGCACCCCCAGACCCTCAGCATGGAGGTGTCTCCCCTTGAGCCGGTCCACTTCATGTGTGGGGAGAGATTGCCCCTGTTGGCCGTTGTGGAGAGAAGGTCGTGCAGGCGCACAGCGTGGTTCATGGCGTAGGGCCAGTACTTCTTGGGTAGGCCGGACTAATTCATAAGGGCGCGCACTTTCGTCATGAGAGTGCGGTTGATCTTTCAGCAACGCCTTGCTGCTGGTGGGCGTAGGGAAGAGAGATATGATGCTTGATCCCCTTCTCTACGACAACGCTCTCCAGCTTGTAGCTGCGGAATTCTTTGGCACCGTCAAATTGCCAGATTTTCAGCTTCTTCCCCGATTGTCGTTGCGCGTGTGCGAGCCAGATGCGAAAGACTTCAGGAGCCTTTGAGCGAACATCGACGTTGGCGACCCAGACGTGGCGTGAGTATGCGTCCACGAAGGTGAGTGTGTATCGTTCGCCGTTGATGCCGTCGAAGGTGAGCACGATGAAGTCGCTGTAGACTTTCTGCAGTTTCTTGTAGCGATTGGTACTAGGCTCTAGGGAGGGGTAGGCTTGGTGCGTGAGGGCCACAGTGGGACAGATGGTGCAGGTGGTTGGGTGTGATGTTCTGAGTGGTTCCGTGCCGTCGGGGCTCAGCAGTGCTCCTGGTAGGAAAACTTTAGCGCGGAGGCAGTTGTTGAATGTCTGACGCGAGGGGTGGCCGAGTCGCTGATGCCAGAGATCGTCTTCTGCGCGTATTCCGGGAGTACGCAGGTAACGTGCTTGATGTTCTGCCACCTCTGCTTCTGTCTCGTGAGGAATTTGGAGCACTGGTCCTTCCTCTTCTCCTGGTTCTGCTTCGTTGTGCGGCTCCTCTTCTTCTACTTCTGCTTCTACTTCTGTCTCGCCTTCTGCAGGTGCCGTCGTGAGGTAGAGCGCAAGGAAGTTGCGATATGGAATGATGTTGAGTGGAGTCCGCGTGCCTTCGATGAAGCGTGCGAAGGGATCTGGGCGGGAGATTGGTCCAAGTGAGTCGCGGGGTGGAGTTGGTGGCACGTTCCCCTCCTCAATCTCTGACCAATGATCTTTCCAGTGATAAGATGAGCGGGGTGGTGAGGGAATAGTGCGGGGGGGTCGTCCGAGTGTGACAGTGACTCGTGGGGGGGGGGGGGTCTTTTGGCAGCCATCTCCCTCTCCACTTCTTCTATCTCCTCCTGGATAAGGTCGCCTTCGGCGAGGTCCCGACGTTCGGCATCGCCCCATTCGTTAGTTCCCAAGCCTTGAACTGTGCCTAAAGCACCAGTGGCGGATCCCCATGTTGCTCCTGTGCCTTTGTCGTTTCCTCCCCATCCTCCGGTTCGTGCTGACTCTTTGTCCCATCCAGCTGCGATGCGCTCCTCGTACAACTTTGCTTTCTTTTCTACCCTTGCCTTTTCTTCCTCCTCATGGATGCTGAGCTCCTCAGGTTCGTCTGGGTCTTTCCACTTTTTATCAATGGTTGTGCGGTAGACGTCGGGGGTGTAGGGTCGCGGACGATTTTCCTCATAAAAGGTCGTGCCGTGCGCTTCCTCCAGGATCCAGCGGAGGGTTTCGGTGCGTGGTGTTGGTCGCTGTTGCTCCGTCAGCCCCAGGCTTTCATCACGGATCCCAAAAACACGGTGAGTGGTGACGGCTAGCTCCATTTCCATCATCACTGTAGGTTCCGTCTTAGCGCTTTCCACCTCTTGAATCGACACGAGATCCTTTTTTACTTCTTCTGTGCGGCTTGCCGTTGGTGTGAAGCAGGTGGTGCAGATGCCGTCAGGACCGGGTTGGTGCAAGTTTATCTCTTCAGGGTGAGAGCTGCGGCGAATCAATGGTCGGCCATCTGGGTGCTGCCATGACTCCACGCTTAAGTTCGAGAAGTCTAGGGGGACGAGATCCACGAGCTCGTTTGATGATGCCTGACAGTTGGGGATGTCGAAGTCGAGCACGTAAACGCCGTTGAACGATCGAACTCTTCCGAGGTATTTATGCGACTCAACGGGTGTGTCTAGAGGAGCGTAGGTGAGGATGAGGTCGCACGTGTAGGGATCCGTAGCGAGCATCACTCCGCAGTCTCTGAGTTAACCTGCCGACAGTAAGTTGAAGCGTAGGTCCGGCACGTAGAGCACGTCATTAAACGTGATGTGCGTGCTACTGTCCCAGGCTTTTAGCACCACGATGCCTTGCGCATTTGCACGAAGTTGCTCGTTGTTGACGACGGTGACGTAGGTGGCGGGAGCGCGGTTGATGTTCGAGATGTACCG